AGCACTAGTTGCAAGCATCTACCTTTGAGCTCTTTTCTGGCAACATCACCTGGCTGGTTTTGCAGTAGAAGCGAGAAGGAAGTGGATACAGGTTTCATATCTGGGGCCTTTGTAAAATTCCTTGGAACATCACCCTTCCCTACAGTCCCCAACACAGAGTGAAATTGGGTTCAATTAGCAAAGACCTTCAGGACTGAACCAGAACTGACAGAAAAGTTCTGAACCATAGTCTTAGACCTCAGGCTGTGGTTTCCAAGGAGAACCCAGCCACAGCATCCACCACATCTTGGCAGGTGAGTTACTACGAAAATTTTAGCTGTGTCACAAACATAACTGCTTCTCCTGCTGCCCCAGTCAGAACAGTCCCAAAAGTTTAAGCTTCACCTCTCATGTAACACTCCTCAAAAGTCAGGGTGAATCAGCAGCCACTGCACAGCCCAGAAAAGCACGGGCCAGCCTCCTACTCTGTCCTCAGTGCACAGAAAGGACTTCACTAGTACCCTCAGGACATACAGTCCAGTCCACGTGCAGGGAACAGCGGGACCGAAAGCAAAAATTCCTTCAGAACAATCTACTCAGCTTTAGTTTCACAGACCTGCTTTCAGGTCTCCCCAAACCCAACCCGTACCCATAAAAATCCCAGCACTGAAACCTGCCCCTACGCCTGAGGCACATCCTATAACCTCACTATGGTCAAGGGGCTGCCTCTTAAGCCCCTGTAACACAATGGCAGTGACAAACACTGGGCAGCAGACAGCCCTGACTAGCTTTTTGTGCTGGTTGGGAAGGGTGCACAGGTACCAAACAAGCTGCACGGCACAGGGCAGCCCTCAGCTCTGCAGCACCCGGAGCTGTGCTGCGCCAGGGAGATCACTTTTCTACAGCCTTCCCTGGAGAGACGACCTAAAATAAACTAACCAGTCACCTTCAGGGAAACTGCAGCATGGGGGAGCCGTCTGGAACCCACGTCCTGCCCCCACGGGATTGCACACCTCTTTAAAAATTCTGTGGGATTAAGGCCCATGAGAAATTAACAGATGGTGTAGAGAAGCAACCCCAGCTGGGCTCCAGGAGAGCACAGAATGCCCATCTGTGGCAAACCAGCTATTGCATTTACAGCCATTTAAACATGATTATCACTCAAGACATAACAAAAACCCTTTTCCCCCCCCACACTAGGCAATAAAGTTTCATTAAAAATATTTTAGTGTTCTAATTATAAAAGGATTTTGAACAAATCACTGTTTCTGTATTTATACACGCAATGTCTTTGGTGCAGAAAAAGACAGAGAAGAGCACAGGAACAGAATAAGTGCTAAAAGCAAATGACTTAAGTGCTACATGATAACAGGTTTCAGTGGAGGGATCATAGCTCTGTAGAGTCAACAAGTTTCCTACTTTGTGACCACTCATAAGAAAGAGCACGAAGGCAAATCTGTTTAGTGTATGCCAACATTTGTGCTTAGATTTTCAGTTACAAAGGGTTGCTTTACATGGCATCTGGTGCCAGACTGGTGAACTGACCACGCCAGCACGGTCAGAACCCCTCAGCCCAGAATTTAAAGCTACTGACACACAGTGGTGGCAGTCTGGTGACAGTGTGAGGGAAGCACACCTGGCACACGTGAGGCACTAACATCCCACACCGCATGGTTTTGGATACAGCTCACTGCTACACTCTCTGCAACCTATGTAGTGGATGCACCTTGACTGGTGCTTAGATTTGCAACTATCCCTCTCCAATCCTGAGATATCTCTAGGACCCCTTGCTACCCCTCAAAAAAACTGAATAGAGTTTGAAAAATAACTGTAAACTTTTACCTCAAGTTTTCTTCCTATGTCGTAGCAGTTCCTAAGCTATGTCGTATCAATATATTTTTATTCTTAAAATACATATATTACCCATAAATAATGGCCTAACTTCCAAAGATATTGAGCAATTAAGGTTTTAGTTGACTTAGCTGGGGTTATAGACATTCAGCATTTTTAGAAAGAAGAGAAAGGCAAAAATAGAAAACCTGGTCACTAGAACTTTAAGTTTTCAAAAATTAAGTTTCTGTTTAGAAGTCACAGCATTATTGCACTGACTTCGCTTAGCTTGGACAGTGCAGCCAAAACAATCATAGAATGGTTTGGGTTGGAAGGGATCTTAAAGATCATCTAGTTCCAAGCCCCGATCAGGTTCTCATTTGTTTTCTCCTGCTTTCATTTACTGCATCATCAACTAGAAGTGCTGGAGTGCATGGCAGAAAATAAAAAAAAAATAAAGTGTCTGAATTCTCAAAAGCCTGATTTCTAAGAGTCTTTTAAAAATATTAAAAATCTCACAAATCACTAATAAGTCTTCTTTAGAAAAGCCTATCATAATACCTCATAATTCAATGAAACAGAGCATGTCTTTTTTGCTCATTTCAAATGTTCACCCCAACAGGATGCCAGGCAGCTGAGGCAGTGGACTACAAGGGAAAAGGCACACCGTGTAACCAAGTCACTTGTGAAGAACCCACCATGAAGACATGGTGATCTCATCTAATATCAGGACCCAGCTCAGCAAGCCACTCTCTCCAGGGACAGAGAGAGAGAGGCTCCTTCAGAGGGATACTCAGACAGAAGCCTATACCTCCAAGGAAATTTATCTCCTTTTACAATGATCACAAAGGAAGCCTAAGCAAATTATCTGTCAAATCTACCCAACTACAGCAAGCACCTAGAGTTGGATGCTGTGAATACCTCCTTCACCATGACATTTATACCTTGTAGGATACCTACAAGGAAAAGGCAGTTGCTTTAGCTGCAGAAAAAGAGTTTGACCTAATTAAAAATAGGACCGAAATTTTGTTGGGAACGTCCTCAAGACCTATACTCTATGAACTACTTGTTTGTCTGGATTAACTACCCCAAAAGGGCTGGAGTAATAAGGCAGAAGTCCACTGCCCTATTTGTACCTGGAAGAGTAATATTCTTCTTCTAGCTCGTACAGGTCAATGGAGATCTCATCCCGTAGTGCAATCAGCTTCTTGTCACATTCTTCCTGCAAGCTTCTCAGCTGCTGGTTGCGCTGGTTGATAGCTTCATTCACAGAGGGGAAATCATTGAGGATCAAGAACTGCTTCAGGTCAGACACAAGTTTCATCAGGGACTCACCAGCTCGGACCTTGTAGCAGGGAGAAAAAGCACAGAATATAATAAAACAGCACCTTGCTCCAATTCTAAAACAAGATCTCCCAAGCTGCTCCTTCAGCCCAAGCCTTGTATAAAGTAGAAATGCCCATGTTACGTGAGGATTCTGACAGAAGCCTGTAGCTGACAAGCCAGGCTACCCAGCTTTCCCCCCATAGCTGAAAGCAGCTTCCTGGATTTGACCACCATAAACTACAGAGCTGGATGAACCAGGGGGAAAGTAAGGTTTTTAAACAACTGGCTAATTCTTGCCTGTGCTCTGAGGAAAACACAACACGGAAGGGCCAAAACTAAGAAGAAAAATGATGGAAGAAACTGGAACAAAACCAAAACAAATTCCAAAGAGAGGAAGGAGCTGCACACACAAGAGACACTCAAGCCAAAGTGAGCGCTGGAGCGGGAAGCAGCTTGCGTTCAGATAAAAACAAACCCAATGGGTCAAGTGATTTTCTTGTTGCAGCTTTTATTTACATTTTTAATGTATGGACTTGAATAAGATGCTTTGGGAAATATTTTAAGCGTAGAAACATGAGACACTTCAAATTGCACAAACATGAAACATGTTGAGATTTAACCCCACACTCAAGACAGCTCCTGTGATGTCAGAGGAGGGAGCCATGGAACATAAACGCAAGATTGGGGTTTCGGATGAGAGAAGGCAAAGCTGGACTCGGAGTTACCGCCTTGGGGAGTAAGCACACAGAGCACTAGTTGCAAGCATCTACCTTTGAGCTCTTTTCTGGCAACATCACCTGGCTGGTTTTGCAGTAGAAGCAAGAAGGAAGTGGATACAGGTTTCATATCTGGGGCCTTTGTAAAATTCCTTGGAACCTCACCCTTCCCTACAGTCCCCAACACAGAGTGAAATTGGGTTCAATTAGCAAAGACCTTCAGGACTGAACCAGAACTGACAGAAAAGTTCTGAACCATAGTCTTAGACCTCAGGCTGTGGTTTCCAAGGAGAACCCAGCCACAGCATCCACCACATCTTGGCAGGTGAGTTACTACGAAAATTTTAGCTGTGTCACAAACATAACTGCTTCTCCTTCCGCCCCAGTCAGAACAGTCCCAAAAGTCTAAGCTTCACCTCTCATGTAACACTCCTCAAAAGTCAGGGTGAATCAGCAGCCACTGCACAGCCCAGAAAAGCACGGGCCAGCCTCCTACTCTGTCCTCAGTGCACAGAAAGGACTTCACTACTGCCCTCAGGACATACAGCCCAGTCCACGTGCAGAGGAACAGCTCTAGAGAACTACCTGAACAGAGGGACCGAAAGCAAAAATTCCTTCAGAACAATCTACTCAGCTTTAGTTTCATGGACCTGCTTTCAGGTCTCCTCAAACCCAACCCGTACCCATAAAAATCCCAGCACTGAAACCTGCCCCTACGCCTGAGGCACATCCTATAACCTCACTATGGCCAAGGGGTTGCCTCCTAAGCCCCTTTAACACAATGGCAGTGACAAACGCTGGGCAGCAGACAGCCCTGACTGGCTTTTCGTGCTGGTTGGGAACAGTGCACAGGGACCAAACAAGCTGCATGGCACAGGGCAGCTCTCAGCTCTGCAGCACCCAGAGCTGTGCTGCGCCAGGGAGATCACTTTTCTACAGCCTTCCCTGGAGAGACGACCTAAAATAAACTAACCAGTCACCTTCAGGGAAACTGCAGCATGGGGGAGCCGTCTGGAACCCACGTCCTGCCCCCATGGGATTGCACACCTCTTAAAAAATTCTGTGGGATGAAGGCCCATGAGAAATTAACAGATGGTGCAGAGAAGCAACCCCAGCTGGGCTCCAGGAGAGCACAGAACGCCCATCTGTGGCAAACCAGCTATTGCATTTACAGCCATTTAAATATGATTATCACTCAAGACATAACAAAAACCCTTTTCCCCCCCCACACTAGGCAATAAAGTTTCATTAAAAATATTTTAGTGTTCTAATTATAAAAGGATTTTGAACAAATCACTGTTTCTGTATTCATACACACAATGTCTTTGGTGCAGAAAAGACAGAGAAGAGCACAGGAACAGAATAAGTGCTAAAAGCAAATGACTTAAGTGCTACATGGTAACAGGTTTCAGTGGAGGGATCATAGCTCTGTAGAGTCAACAAGTTTCCTACTTTGTGACCACTCATAAGAAAGAGCACGAAGGCAAATCTGTTTAGTGTATGCCAACATTTGTGCTTAGATTTTCAGTTACAAAGGGTTGCTTTACATGGCATCTGGTGCCAGACTGGTGAACTGACCACGCCAGCACGGTCAGAACCCCTCAGCCCAGAATTTAAAGCTACTGACACACAGTGGTGGCAGTCTGGTGACAGTGTGAGGGAAGCACACCTGGCACACGTGAGGCACTAACATCCCACACCGCATGGTTTTGGATACAGCTCACTGCTACACTCTCTGCAACCTATGTAGTGGATGCACCTTGACTGGTGCTTAGATTTGCAACTATCCCTCTCCAATCCTGAGATATCTCTAGGACCCCTTGCTACCCCTCAAAAAAACTGAATAGAGTTTGAAAAATAACTGTAAACTTTTACCTCAAGTTTTCTTCCTATGTCGTAGCAGTTCCTAAGCTATGTCGTATCAATATATTTTTATTCTTAAAATACATATATTACCCATAAATAATGGCCTAACTTCCAAAGATATTGAGCAATTAAGGTTTTAGTTGACTTAGCTGGGGTTATAGACATTCAGCATTTTTAGAAAGAAGAGAAAGGCAAAAATAGAAAACCTGGTCACTAGAACTTTAAGTTTTCAAAAATTAAGTTTCTGTTTAGAAGTCACAGCATTATTGCACTGACTTCGCTTAGCTTGGACAGTGCAGCCAAAACAATCATAGAATGGTTTGGGTTGGAAGGGATCTTAAAGATCATCTAGTTCCAAGCCCCGATCAGGTTCTCATTTGTTTTCTCCTGCTTTCATTTACTGCATCATCAACTAGAAGTGCTGGAGTGCATGGCAGAAAATAAAAAAAAAATAAAGTGTCTGAATTCTCAAAAGCCTGATTTCTAAGAGTCTTTTAAAAATATTAAAAATCTCACAAATCACTAATAAGTCTTCTTTAGAAAAGCCTATCATAATACCTCATAATTCAATGAAACAGAGCATGTCTTTTTTGCTCATTTCAAATGTTCACCCCAACAGGATGCCAGGCAGCTGAGGCAGTGGACTACAAGGGAAAAGGCACACCGTGTAACCAAGTCACTTGTGAAGAACCCACCATGAAGACATGGTGATCTCATCTAATATCAGGACCCAGCTCAGCAAGCCACTCTCTCCAGGGACAGAGAGAGAGAGGCTCCTTCAGAGGGATACTCAGACAGAAGCCTATACCTCCAAGGAAATTTATCTCCTTTTACAATGATCACAAAGGAAGCCTAAGCAAATTATCTGTCAAATCTACCCAACTACAGCAAGCACCTAGAGTTGGATGCTGTGAATACCTCCTTCACCATGACATTTATACCTTGTAGGATACCTACAAGGAAAAGGCAGTTGCTTTAGCTGCAGAAAAAGAGTTTGACCTAATTAAAAATAGGACTGAAATTTTGTTGGGAACATCCTCAAGACCTATACTCTATGAACTACTTGTTTGTCTGGATTAACTACCCCAAAAGGGCTGGAGTAATAAGGCAGAAGTCCACTGCCCTATTTGTACCTGGAAGAGTAATATTCTTCTTCTAGCTCGTACAGGTCAATGGAGATCTCATCCCGTAGTGCAATCAGCTTCTTGTCACATTCTTCCTGCAAGCTTCTCAGCTGCTGGTTGCGCTGGTTGATAGCTTCATTCACAGAGGGGAAATCATTGAGGATCAAGAACTGCTTCAGGTCAGACACAAGTTTCATCAGGGACTCACCAGCTCGGACCTTGTAGCAGGGAGAAAAAGCACAGAATATAATAAAACAGCACCTTGCTCCAATTCTAAAACAAGATCTCCCAAGCTGCTCCTTCAGCCCAAGCCTTGTATAAAGTAGAAATGCCCATGTTACGTGAGGATTCTGACAGAAGCCTGTAGCTGACAAGCCAGGCTACCCAGCTTTCCCCCCATAGGAATGATTCACCAAACAGCCACCCCAATTATCAGGTTACTCTTCCAGCAGCAGCCCTCGTGAGTGTTATAAAGGCTACCCTAGATGCAATAATGAACCCAAAGGATGTGCTGCCCACCGAGTGGCACAGCAGGGTGCTACTCACAATGTTTGCGGCTCTGACATGCATCTCATAGTTATCTTGTTCACCCTGGGTTGCTCGAGAGACTTGAGTTTCATCCTCAATCTAAAGAAAGAAGTACACATATCCGCCTTTACATACTAAAATCATGAAACATGATTACTACAGCATAAGGCATCTCATTTCAATTAAATCTACAGCTAGAGTCTCCAGGGCCACCTCTGCACTTCAGAGGCGCTTGTGGATGTCTTTGCTGCCCTCCCCACTTGCTTCTGTGGTTCTCTCCCATTCAGTAGCACCGCCTGGCTGCCCGCAGCGGGGAGGCAGGGAGACCAGCAGCAGCCGAGGAGAACTAACAGCCGCCCACCCTGAGGAAGAAAGGAAGGAAGGAACCCCCTTCCCTCACAACCACCCGCGGGGAACGGGGAGAAAGTTCAGGGCCACCTCTGCACTTTAGAGGCACTTGCGGATGTCTTTGCTTCTGTGGTTCTCTCCCATTCAGTAGCACCGCCTGGCTGCCCGCAGCGGGGAGGCAGGGAGACCAGCAGCAGCCGAGGAGAACTAACAGCCGCCCACCCTGAGGAAGAAAGGAAGGAAGGAACCCCCTTCCCTCACAACCACCCGCGGGGGAACCGCGAGAAAGGTCCCCCCGCCTCCCTTCCCTCAGGGGCCCGACCTTCCCTCAGGGTCGCTCCTTCTCCCCTCAAGGGCCTCGTTCTTCCCCTCATCCCTGAGGGGCCTTGCTCCCCCCTCACAGGCCTTATTTCCCTCTCACAGCTGCCCCCTCTCCCCTCAGAAACCCCTCCCCCTCGCCCCCTCGTCCCTCAGGGGCCTTGCTCCCCCCTCACAGGCCTTATTCCCCCCTCACAGGCCTTATTTCCCTCTCACCGCCGCCCCCTCTCCCCTCAG